CGCTTAAGAGTGAAAGAAGAGTTTGTGTGTGTGTATGTATGTGCGTGCGCAGGTGCTTGCGCGCACATATACGCATACTATCCTTAGTGGAGTATAAGTTTAAAGTTTTATCATTGCCTGACTCTGACATTCCTTACTTCAGAAATATTTTAAAGCAAAAAACCATAAGATATTGATTATAAATCTTACTTTTTTCTCTAGTCTTTATCTCTGTTTCTTATTCTGTTTACTGAAAGATGACCTGACATTTTTAAATGATGCTACTCAATGACAGCATTTAGAACCCTTTCTAACAACTAGTGCTACTGAAACTGGAAACAAACAAAAAAAAAGAAAGCCAAACCTTCCCACATAGAAACTCATTTACTTATCATTCTCTGCCTTCTAGAGAATATCTAATAAAAATTCTCAATGCCAAAGGTTTTGCAGATATTTTTAATGCAGTCATAGCTCTCTTAGGTCAAGTCAAATGTCAATTTATACTTACGATACTAATTTTCACGTGTTAACCTTAAAATCTTACATATGGGGCTAGAGTAGTGGCTCAGCGGTAGAGCATTTGCCTAGCACATTCAAGGCCCTGGGTTCGATCCTCAGCACCACATAAAACAATAAATAAATAAAATAGAGATATTGTATCCAATACAACTGAAAAATAAATATAAAAAATCTTACATATGAAAAAAATGGCCTTCCAAAATTAAAAAAATAATAATACTGTGGGTAATAGGTTACAATGAAATCTATTCAGTATGTACCCAGATTGAGAAATAGCATTTCAGTCCCCATTTCATTCCATGCCCTTTTCCAAAGATAACCACTATTCTGACTTCTAACTATATAGATTTATTTTTCATTAAAGAGAATTATCCTTTATGTACTCTTCTGAAAAAGGTTTCTTTTTGCTTAACTTTATGTTTGCAAGATTTATCTATTGCACTATTGATAAGCAGCATTTTCATTTGGAGTTATGTGTAATACTAAAGTGAAGATCTTGTACATGTCTTTTAGTAATGTGTGAATTCCTGATATGCAAATTAACCCCTAAAACAGTTAATAATCTCAAAAATTTGTAGAGAAGAATCAATAATCTATTAATTCTCTGATTCCTTATTCTTCTTGAGTTAATGATAGCAGCTATGTGATGTGTTCTAGCAGAAAAATAACTGGTAGAGCACACCTTGAACTGGGGGAGGATTGATTTTTATGCTTTGTTAGAGTGCATCTGTTTCAGTTTTATGTCTTACAACTAGAACATAGTGTTTAAAATTTTTAATAGGCATGATCTCTCTGAGGTTCTAGTGCAAAACACAAGGTTTACCAATTTCTTACTCCAGACTCATTTTGTCCTGTAGTAGGCAGCTGCTGAAATCTCTGCTCAGTTCTTTCAACCTTCCCAGTTATTGTTAGAGCCATACCCATTCATGTACACTTCAGAATCTCCCTTTTATACAACCATCCCTGACCAACAAAATTTCAAACTGCTCTAGCTGTCCTAAACTCCATCTCCATATTCCTTGTGCTGGTAAGACTAGACTTTTCCTTGAGTTCCTTATGTTCCTAACTATCTGGACAGGAGGGAGAAAGGATATAAACTTGAATCTAATTCAGTATGGGTCTGTTTTCCCCCACCAACACCCCCCACCCCCCCCCCCACCCCGTCATTCCTTTGAAAGGTTGAATTCTCTCCAGAGTTCCTTGGTCACTCTCAGGTCCCTTCAAACACAGGTTTTTCTGATTTGTTCAGAGTAGTTGTTTGGCACAAACACTGAGTTGTGAACTGTTCTGTGTCATTGCCTCAATTGGAACCTTAGTAATTGAGAATTAAGCAAATTGAATTTAAAAATAAAAGCAAACTTATATTTAGTGAAGATTGAAAGAGAAATTATGTATAGCTGGAGGAAGGTGGGGTATGAAATACTTAATAGAAAAGGTTGGTATTTATGGTGAACCCTGAGGGATGGTTGGGATGGACTTCCATTAGTGAAGATGGCAGAGTATTCTAAATTAAAGGAACAAATTGAACTACTGGGAAAGTACAGACTGTGTTTATAAGAAAAATTAAGAGTCTGATTTGACTGGTGGGTTACTTTTAAGGGGAGTAATTAAAAAGCAGCCGGGTGCCCAGCTATATCCCAGCTACTTAAGAAACAGAGGTAGGAGAATTGCCAAGTTTGAACCTAGCTAGCCTCCACAGCTAGTAAAACCCTGTGACAAAAAAGGGGCAGGGGGAGAGAGAGGAATGCAGCTCAGTGGTAAAGACCCCGGAGTTCCTGATACAAAAAAAAAAAAAGACTGGAAAGTAGGAACTATTTGAAGTTTTTGAGTTTAATCTGGTAACGTAGCAAGGAGTAAATGGGAGTTAAGAAAAGAGACAAAAAGATCAATTAGGAAGATATTGGTGGCAACATATCCATCAAGAATTTCAAAACATAGGAGATGAAGGAAATTAATAAAGATAGAAACCAAATAGCTGAAAGATGGAGACTTACTGGTACAAATGTTTATTATTAACATATTTTTTTTTTCATAAATAAAGTTAGGATAATTTAAATAAAGGCTATACTGCCTTTGTAGAAAATAGAGCTCTGTTCTCGTTTTTTCTACAATTTTTTTGCTATTGTTTCATATTTTCAATTAAGACATTGTGCCTGTCAACACTTATCAAAGTATTGGACCATATTTATGTTGGCACTTCTGTTCTCAGTATAACTAATTTAATTAGAACTGAGAAAACTTAGCCGCTTTCAAAAAGAATATCAATATAAAACCATCAGTTATTGATACTAATATAGCCAGCCATTTGAAATTCTTTTGCATACAAGAGGGGTTTATGATAGGAATGTGTATGATTATAGGGAGATCATAGGAGTCCCAGAATAGCAACTATAGTATATGACCAGAATTTCAGCAACAATTTGTGGGACTGTGACTCAAGGAGACGTACTTTCCATGTTCTCTTTTGTTTATATATCATTGCTCTCCATTATCCAAATTACTTCTGAAGTCCTTTCTAAATTTTCTTCCATATTTCTAAGTGAAGTTCCTCAGAATGCTATGTTTACTTCTGAGAGTTTACTTGTAGCAAACACTGTCCCACCTTTTCATATATAAAAAGTAGCATCTTTGAAATAACATTGCACTTTTAAAAATATATATATGGAATTGTAAATATTAACACTATTCTAAACTGAAGAACTCAACTGGATGTCATATCTTGTAGCATTTTTTTTTAAACTAGGCCTGTGCCCTAAAATAATACTATTAATGGTAGAAAGTTGTTAAGAATGGGTAGTATTGTCTATTTTTTGTGGTAATGATTGTATATAGAACTCTCTATATATACTCTCTATATATGGGTCCCAATAAACCCATTGCAAATTAAAGATATCATAATTTTTTCAAAATGCATTTAATACAATTAAACTACCCAGTGTCGTAGCTTAGCAACATAGCACAATGCAGAGTATCATTTGTCATCAGTATCATTGTGGACCATGTGCTTAACTGGGAATTGCAGTTCACTTCTGTGTCCCAGCATTGCAAGAGTATCATACCACATTTTGTTAGCTCAAGTAAAGATCAAAATTTAGAATTTAAAGTACAATGCCTACTGAATTTGTATTGCTTTGGCACCACTGTAAAATCAAAATTCCTAAGTCACACCATTATAAACTGGGGGCCAGTTGTACTGGCAATTGTACTCTTTGGTAATGTTGATATTAAATTTATAAGATCAGTTTGATAATTTTCCTGGACTTTTTAATTCATCTCTAATTACACACACAAACACACACACACTGCACTGAGGGTTGAACTTGGGAATTTTACCACTGGCCCTTTTCCAGGGACACCAACCCCCTACCACACTCCCAGCTGCCTTTTTAAAATTTTTATTTTGAGAAAGGTCTCACCAAATTGCCAAGTTTATACTTGAATTTGGAATCTTCCTGCCTTAGCCTCACAAGTATTGTTAGCCACCATGTCCAGCTCTTTGCTTTTTTTTAAGAATTGAATAAAATGGGGGCTGGTGTTGCAGCTCAGTGGGAGAGTGCTTGCCTAGCACATGTGAGGCACTGGGTTCGATGATCCTCAGCCCCACTTAAAAATAAATACATTAATTAAATAAAGGCATTGTGTCTATACAACTAAAAAATATATTTTAAAATGTTGAATAAAATGATTTTATTAAAGACTAGCTGAATGTCTTTGCAATTATAAATTGTATTATTTGACAATACATGTTATAAAATATCTCCCAATAGTTAACACAGAAAAAGGTAAATTACTAAAAAAATTTTGTGGGGGTGGCAAGAGGAATATACTGGAGATAGAATCCAGGGGCATTTAAAAACTGAGCAATATCCTCAACCTTTCCTCGCTTCCTTCCTCCCTTGGTCCGTTTCTTGCTTCCTTCCTCCCTCCCTCCCTTTCTTCCTCCCTTCTTCCCTCCCTTCCTTCCTCCCTCTCTTCCTTCCTCCCTTGCCTCCCTCCCTCCCTCTTTCCTTTCTAACCTCTCTCTTTCCCTTCTTCCCTCCCTCCCTCTTTCCCTTCCTTCCTCCCTCCCTCTCTCCCTCCTTTTCTCTCCCTCCCTCTCTCCCTCTTTCCCTTCCTCCCTTTCTCCCTCCCTTCCTTCCTCCCTCCCTCTCTCCCTTCCTTCCTTCCTTTCTGTTCATTCATTCATTCATTCATTCATTCATTCATTCATTCAAGGTAGGGTCCCGCTAAATTGCCTACGGCCTCACAAGTTGCTGAGGGTGGCTTTGAACTTGTGATTCCCCTGCCTCATCCTTCAGAGCCACTGAGATTACAGGCATGGGCCACAGCACCCAGCCCACAAACAGTTTTAGATTGTTACAAATAGACTGTTACATCAAGAATGTATGTATTCAATGTTATAGCAACTGTGTATTTTCCAGATATTTATTTTAAATATTGATATATTTTTGTAGCCAAAGCTTAATATTAAATCCTGTTTAAAAAAAAATTCTTTCTTACAGGGCTGATCCTTTGTCCAATATGGTTCTAACCTTCAGTACTAAAGAAGATGCAGCTGCCTTTGCAGAAAAAAATGGTATGATTGGTCTATTTTTGTTTTTCCTTTTCACAAATAAAGTTAAGATATGATTTTATGTTCTTAACTAAAACCATTCAGGAATATAAAATTTGAGTTGAAAGAAATCTTTCAGTAAATATCTGGTTCAGTGTTGCTTAGCTTTTTTGCTGCAACAGGATGAACAACCCCCTTCCAAAAGAAAAGAAAGTCAAAGAAAAATTTAAAATGGAATGTCCAGTGTTACATGTAAAAGCCAAAATGCTCTAATCTGAAGTCAGATCAGGGCAGGGAATAAGACTACTTGTCTAACACACCTACCTTGTTTCTGAATTCCTCTGCAAAATTACTAACATTTGGTTATTTAAACTCTTATGTCATAAGGTTAGCATAGTGCAGTTTTGACACTTTATTATTAAGTTCTCTTTTACTTTGATCCAGAATCTAATGCATATTATTCTATATAACAGCTCTTTTATTGAAAATAGTTATTATATTCACTAAATTTTCATTAAGCCTAAATATCTGCATTTGCTACTTTTCTAGATATGGTTGTATGAATGTAGTCTAAAAGTATATTAGTTTGGGGGACAACTATGTTATACCATTGGATTATGTTGATCTTACTATCAACAATAGTGCAAAATATTTTTCTTATTTTCTGCTGTTAAGTCAATAGTACAATGAAAGGAAATGTGCAGTTAGACCACTCTGGGTTCTAATCCTTATCATTCCACCTTGAACCAGTATGATTTTGGATTAATTTCATAGTGGACTTAATGCTTCTTCGTATTTGAAATAGAGAAGCTGGTATATAATAGATACTTAGTAAAGATTAGTTCTGACCCTCATCTCCCTGCATCTTTGGCATTTCTTTTGTTTATGTCCTGCAGATTTAAATATGCTGATATACATTTGTACCTAATGTATTTTGTTTGGCAATACATTGTTAGTATAAGCCATTATATAAATGTAAAAAAAATAGCATTTTCTAATCATTTTTTTTTAAATATTTCTTTAAGATGTTGATGGACCTGTATTTCATTCATTTATTTATATGCAGTGCTGAGAATTGAAACCAGTGATTCACACATATTAGGCAGGCGTTCTACCACTGAGCTACAACCCCAGCCCTTTTCTAATCTATTTGACATATAAGTATGAAAGCACTGTGAAAGCCTTGTGAAGATCATTATTATCTAAAATGTTTTTCTTCCCCACTTAATACTGCAGATTATAATTAAAAGTCTAAAGCCACAGACCAAGATGTGTAGCATAGTGGTAGAGTATGCTCAAGGGCCTGGGGGTTTCCAGTCCTGTTCACAAAAAAATAGTATAAAACCAAACTACTTTGTGTTTGAATCCATGTTGAGTCATTATGATATACTGTATTTTTATTTCCTCATCTGTAAAATGGGAATTGCTGTGAGGATTAAATGAGTTAAAAAAACAAAATACTTAAAATTGGTTTTGACACATACTAAGTATATAATAGTATATAAGTATATCTTATTATGGTTGTTTTTAAAATAGACTTTAAAACTTACAAAGGACTTAAGTGCATTTCCATATTAATATTTGGCAAGTTCTAAATTTCTTAATTACGTAATTGTTCTCAAAGTGGTCAGTCTTTATTATTTTGACTTAATATTGTCAAGATATTATTTGATTTAGACTAATATTTTAATTAAACTACCATTTATCAAAAACATTTTGTTAATGTTTTCTATCCTTTCAACCGATTATATTTCATGACTGACACCTTGAAAATTATTCTTTTGAGGTCTGTAACATGAGTTTAATAACAGGAAATCTAATTAAACTGTTAAATCCCTGATTAGTCTCTAAGTGGTCACAAGGACTGTATGACTGCAGTTGCCATGTGAATTGTAGGTGTGAATTAGCCACTACTGCTATTGAAATCAGGTGCCTTTTCAATTAATTTCTACCTCCCAGGAAAGAAAACTGAAGAATATTGTCCAAATCAGTAGGAAATATAACTTGAAAAAACATAGAGGATAGTGAGTAGGAAAACTGAAGGCTAACAGTGGATCAGATCAGGATTTCTAACCTGCTTCACAGCAGGAACTATCTGTCTTGGTCACTATTTTATCCCAAGCACCTGGCACAAAAGCTGACATATGATGTCAGTATCAAGTGAAATTATAGACATTCTAAAATATACTGGTCTACTCAATAACTTGAAGCTACTCTGATCACCTGGGGAACTCCTCAGTTATTATATACACCCTAAAATTCATTTGTAATCAGCCTTGTTAACATTTAGCATTATGGTTTCATTTTGTTTTTTTTTGGTACCAGGGATTGAACTCAGGGGTACTTAACCACTGAGCCACATCCCCAGCTCTTTCCAGCTCTTTTTGTGTATTTTTATTTAGAGACAGGGTCTCCCTCAGTTGCTTAGGCCTTGCTAAGTTGCTGAACCTGGGATCCTCCTGCCTCAGTCCTCAGCCTCCCGAGCCGCTGGGATTACAGGCATGTGCCACCACACATTATGTATTTTTTAATAAATAAGTCTTGCTTTTTCAGCTATAGTGGAAGCTAGATCTAAATAAACAGTACTGGAATGCTACAGAATCAAGTGTTAGAGGAATTTTTCCAGATTCCTCAGCAATGCCCTCCATTCTGATTTGCCTCTTTTGGATAGGTGATAAGGTGAAAAAGAATCCTTCCCCTCAGACCAATCATCATTTTATTTTGAACCAGTGCTGTTGAAGATTAGGTGAACTAATGTTCTGGTAATTTAAGGACTTTTTTTTTTGAATTTTTTTTTTTTTTGAATTTTTTATTGTTGGTTGTTCAAAGCATTACAAATTTCTTGACATATCATATTCCACACTTTGATTCAAGTGGGTTATGAACTCCCACCTTCACCCCATACACAGATTGCAGAATCACATCAGTTACACATCCGTTGATTTACATATTGCCATACTAGTGTCTGTTGTGCTCCGCTGCCTTTCCCATCCTCCACCATCCCCCCTCCCCTCCTCTCCCCTCCCCTCCCCTCCCCTCTCTCTACCCCCTCCACTGTATAACCCTGAGGGTCTCCTTCCATTTCCATGCAATTTCCCTTCTCTCTCCCTTTCCCTCCCACCTCTCATCCCTGTTTAATGTTAATCTTCTTCTCATGCTCTTCGTCCCTACTCTGTTCTTAGTTACTCTCCTTATATCAAAGAAGACATTTGGCATTTGTTTTTTTAAAAATTAGTTGAGAAGTACTATTATGTAAGGTTTATAGGATTAAGAGGCTGGTAACCTAGATTCTAATTCCACAATTATCCCCTTCACAGGAGAGCTTTAACAGTTCTTGCTTCACTGCACTTAATGTTTGATAAACGTATTTATCTCATCTTTGAAATGAGAAGTTTGATTGGGCGATGCTCAAAACTATATTCTTTCAGGATTTTAAGTCCTTGAACCAGCTCATATGCCTTTATTTCTTACCCTCTAGCCCAATGACTTTCTTCTTCTTCTTCTTATTTTGGTACTGGGGATTTAACCCAGGGGCGCTCTACCCCTGAGCTACTTCTCCAGCCCTTTCTATTTTTTATTTTGTAACAGGGTGTTACTAAGTTGCCCATGCCTCAGCCTCCCTAGTTGCTGGGATTCTAGGCATGTGCCATTGGACCCATCTTTTGAATTATATACTTAATAGAGTTCTATTATGAATCAAGGATAAGTAGAAATTTATACTGCATATAATAGTGAAATAAAATATTTAAGACCAGTATTATATTATAAAATATAATATTTTCTTAAATATTATTCAATATTATTTAATTTTCTTAACCATTTTTCTACAGGTCTTTTTATTTAAGAGTACACTCATCTCTGAAACTATAGTTTCCTACCTGCTGTTGATCATTTCTGTAATTATCTGCTTTTGCTGTTTTTGAAAGCTTGGTTTTCTGAAATTTCATAGTAGGAAGGAAAGAAGAAAAGACTGAGTGCCTCTTACAACTTCTTTCCTCCCCCATTTCCCATCCTTCACTTTCCCACCCTCAACATACTAATACACAAAGCAAGAAAATATAAGTACCCCTGTGTCTATGGCTTTCATTGCAAGGCCTCATCCTAAACATCTCTCTTTAAGCTCAGCATCTATTCCAAAGGGAACTCTTCAAAGATAACCTTTCTTTATTAGAAGAGAATATCTGGGGCTTCCTCTGAAATGTAGATGAACCTTATTTCAATTCTTTGTGTACTGAAAAGACCCACCTTTCTCACCCTTGTGGCTTTTGTCTGTCCTTGTGTTATGTGAAGGATGGGGAGGAGAAGGAAGCTGCATCATGGAGAGAAGTGGCAGAAAACAGCTGTGGAAAATGTGGGTAGTAGAGGACTAAGATCTACTACCATTTACATGCTAATGAAAACGAGAAATGCCTCTCCACCGCCCCCCCCCATCCCACCCCTATTTGATCTGATTTGAAACTTTGTGACTTTTCTTTGGTATGTCATTTTGCCCCCTGTGTTTTTCTCATTGCTGTTAGCTATAAAAACTCTTTGAAATTCTCAAAATAAGGGAGGGCAGAGGACAAGCTGTGAAATTGCATTGTGTTCACAGTGGATCTGTTGGGGAGGAAAGCCAACCTCTGAAGTAACAGAAGGTAGAAGCAGGAAAGGAAGCCCACAGGTCCAGGCCTGGATCCTGAAAAAGATAGAACTTTCCTGAGGTGTATCAGTTAGGTCTGGACTTCCCACCTACTTTAACCTCTTATGAGCTCAACCTCACATCCAGGTGACTGTTAAAAGATAACTTTCAAACTCTTCATAATGGGTACAAAATTCAAGTAAAAGAATTTATTTTTCATGATATAAGTGAACAGTTTATTTTCATGATATAAGTGAACAAGGCAGATGTTCTAACAAGTGCGAATTTATGTAGAATAAAGAATTTGAGGTCAATTGCAAATGGGGACAAAAGTTATTTTCCTTGGGGAAGAAGGGTGTCTGTAAGAACCAGTGGGACACAGGACAGAATCTGTATGTGTGTGTGTGTGTGTGTGTGTGTGTGTGTGTGTGTTGTATACAACGTAAAAAGAGTTGCTAAATAGATAAAGACAAGAAAATGAGCTGAAAGCCTTATAATGTTGAAGGAGAAGGATATGCTAGAGTCTGTATTTTTCTATTGAAATTATGTTAGGCTCTTCCCCTAACCCCATCTCCCAACCCCACATTTTTGGTTTTTGAGGCTGGGTCTCCCTGTGTTACTCAAGATGGTCTGAAACTCCTGTGTTCAAGGTATCCTCCCATCTTGACCTCCCAAGTGTCTGGGACTACAGGCATGCAACATTGTACTTGGCTTCTCCCTATTTGATAGGAAATAATCTCAAATAGGGATTATTTATGATCACAAAATAAGATTGATGTACTTTTTTTGCCCTGATTATTTATATAGGTGTAGCAAGAATTAATTTTTAAGAATATTAATTTATCATATCAAAGTTTGCTTTAGTCAGAGTTTTCATAAAGAATCTCAGATTGTTCTTTTTTAAGTCTCTTCAGATTAGGAATCCAAGCTAAGAATTTGCCACTGTGTATGTGTTGTGCAGTACCTATTGATTTGGGCAAATCTTCCCTTCTCAAAATCCCCAGAATGTTTTCCCTGTAAGACAAGGAACTCTATAAGCCAGGTGCCAGGCCATTTTTCCTGCATAAAGTCAAACTTTGTTCCTTAACAGTGTCTGCTCATATCTGATTAAAGAGCATCATTTTCAAATATCTCATTACAAGTAAGGATTCGTTCCATATCAATGCTTCAAATCACATCCTATTAAAAGGAGGATAGATTGCTATTAAACATATGCAAATAAATATATTACCATAAAATTTAAGCATATTCAGTAAGAAATTCCAAATTCCGGAGGTGTCATGGAGGTGGAATGAGATTTGTAGTATTTCCATTTACAAAGAAAGCTGTACTAAGTTGTAATGAGTTGTAACATCTTAGGAAAAAGAAAGGGTTTCCTGATATATTGAAAATACAGAATAGTAAAACAGTACCAGTAACATCGCAAACACAAAACTACGGTCATCCTTTATCAGTTCATTCAGTCCTATATAATTCTTATTCTATTGGATCATAATGTTTTTACTTCTTGACTAAAGTACTGGAAATCCTGACCCATTCAACTAGCAATGGTCTTAAAATTAAGGGGCAGCATCAAAAACCTATAATCCCCTAGTCCTTTTCTATGGGATTCTGAGATAGTGCTCCTTTGTTGAAGATGAAGTACTTTGGCCTGTAGCTCATTACAAGAGCTTTTAGGGAAGCATAAGCCTGAAACAAAACTATGGATCATAAAAGACTTAAATTAGTTGTAATTTTCACCAGTGGAATAGTTCACCACAGTGAAATATTTTTCACCAGAGTTCATAAGAAAAATAAGGTAACTTAAATTCAAGTCCAAAAAGTTGAGAAAATATCTGTAAAATATAACCACTGAAGCAAACTTTCAAAGAAAACAGTGAACACTCATCTGGTTTATCTAATCAAGGTTTTTTTGCTTTGTTTTTATTGATTTAAAAAATAAGTAAATAAATGGCAGCGGAATGCATTACAATTCTTATTACACATATATACCACAAGTTTTCTTATTTCTGTATTTAAAGTATTTTGACACCCAATTAGTGTCTTTATGCATGTACTTTTGATAATGTCTATCACATTCCACCATCCTTGTTAATCCGCTGCCCTCTCCCTTTCCCTCCCACCCATCTTCCCTATGTAGAATTCATCTATTCCTCCCATGCTCCCCCTTCTTACCCTACTATGAGAAAACATTCGGCATTTTTTTTGGGGGGGAGGATTGGCTAACTTCACTGAGCATTATCTTCTCCAACACCATCCATTTACCTGTAAATGCCATGGTTTTATTCTCTTTTATTGCTGAGTCAAATTCCATTGTGTATATATGACACATTTTTTAATCCATTCATTCACTGAAGGGCATCTAGGTTGGCTCCACAGTTTATCTATTGTGAATTGTGCTGCTATAAACATTAATATGGCTGTGTCCCTATAGTATGCTGTTTTTAAGTCCTTTGGGTATAGTCCGAGGAGAGGGATAGCTGGGTCAAATGGTGGTTCCATTCCCAGATTTCCAAGGAATCTCCATACTGCTTTCCATATTGGCTGCACCAATTTGCAGTCCCACCAGCAATGTATGAGTGTACGTTTTTCCCCACATCTTCTCCAACACTTATTGTTTGTCTTCATCATAGCTGCCATTCTGACTGGAGTGAGATGATATCTTAGAGTAGTTTTGATTTGCATTTCTCTAATTGCTAGAGATGATGACCATTTTTTCATATACTTGTTGATTGATTGTATATTCTCTTCTGAGAAGTGTCTGTTCAGGTCCTTGACCCATTTGTTGATTGGGTTATTTGTTTTTTTGGTGCTTAGTTTTTTTAGTTCTTTATATATCCTAGAGAATAGTGCTCTATCTGAAGTGTGAGAGATAAAAATTTGCTCCCAGTATGTAGGCTCTCTGTTTACCTCACAGATTGTTTGTTTTGCGAGAAAAAACTTTTTAGTTTGATTCCATCCCATTTATTGATTCTTGCACTATAGGAGTCTTATTAAGGAAGTTGGGGCCTAATCACACATGATGAAGATCTAATCAAGGCTTTAATATGATACACAAACCTTTGGTACAATGAAAAATTGATAGACCTTTAGAAATGTGTTTGGACAAAGTGAATGTGACATAATGGTAATAAAATTATCTTTGAGATTCTGCAAGAGGGCAGGGCAGCAAGGCCTATCTGTTCAGATTCTTCTTTGCTTGTTTGTGTGGCATTCTTTCTAGGTAAAGGACAGGACCCACTTTTGAAAGAAGGGTCTTAATGTCTATCAGATAAGGAAATTCTCTGAAGTACCTTATGACTAGCTCTTATATGGAAAGTCAGGGGAGGTTAGAGTAATATTTTAAGATTTTATGGCTAGTTTTGAGGAAAAGTAGTTCTAGTGCCAATGACCCACCTTTGGGGAAGAGGAATTCTTGTTCTCTGGCCTGCAGGACCAGGTCAGAAAGATCTTCCTTCTGAGCTCCTTTCCTTTAGTTTAGAAACTCAGCATGCCAAAGCACTATGCTTTGTGGTGTTATTTTTCTGAGTCCCAACAGTAGGCTTTATAGAGGAAAAAAACTTGAGCAATGAATATGCCAAGCTTATAGTATTATACAAAAATTCTGAAGAAACATAGAAATTATGAAAAGACTTAGTAAGTCTGGGGTAGGTCCTAAATATCTGTATATTAATATAAGTCAGACAAGAGATGTGGATTCCAACTTGATATTTTCTAGCCTAGAAGATACAAGATTTAAACAAAAGATATGACCAAAACAGTTATCTATTTATCAAGCAACATAGTACAAGGTCTCTTATGAATAGAACATACTGTGGACATTGAAGGCATTGACAAATCCCTATATCACACAATTTGAGAACACTTACTTTAATAACATTTTACCCATCAAACTTAATATCAGGGTTGCTCTGCATCTCCTCTCTTCCATAGAACCTCTTTAGTAGTAATATATCAAATAAACCTAATTATTTCAAGCAGTTCTCTTTTTACAGAAAGAAAGTGTATATCTTTGTGATTTTCCAGAGGCCCTCTTGCAAAATCTCAAAGATAATTTTAGGTGCAAAGATATCCTGAAAGTTTTATTTTACATTTAGTATTTAATTTGGGGAAGGCAAAAATCAAAAGTTGTGGTTCTAATCATGTAACTCAGTGGTAGAGCACTTGCCTAGCATGTGCAATAAGCCCTAAGTTCAGTCTCCACCACTGCAAAAACAAAAAACAAACAAAAGTCATCAGGAGATGTGAACACTTAGGATAGGTACAGGATCATGGGTGCCGAAGAAGAAATGATATTTGACTGATTATTTCAAAGTCACAATAAAACTTATTGCTTTATACAGAATCTTAATTCTTAAGTGAAAAAGCATAAAAACAGTACAGTAATGAAACAAGCCCAGCAAAATTGAGCAAACTTTGCTAAGATTTTAATATATTTCATAGCTTTTTAGATTTTTTTTTTTTTTTTTTGCACAAACTCTAACCTAAAGCAAATAAAATTTTCTTTCTTGCAAATCTTATATAACTTTATGTGACCAGGTTTTGTCTTTTACCATTTTCTTTCTGGCACACTTTACTTTAGGACATGCCTGTTTTTCCTCTAGTATACAATTTATATCTTGTCACTTTGCATACAAAGTTATTTCATTACCTTAATATAAAGTCATAACCTCTCTGCCCCTATTAACTTCTAGTAGAGTTTCATTCATTTACATTGTATCTTTTTTTTTTTTTTTTTCCAAAGGGGAACCCTTTTCCTGGCCCATGCAGGATGTGTGCAAGAAAATATCTCCTTTTCCAACATGGGAAATGTGACTACTGAAAAAGAGAACTATTCAGTAGTCATCAAACATTTTTTGATTATATTTGCCGTGATCAAAAATACACAAAGTACATTTACACGAGTAAGGCCTCAAGCTGGTGGAGAACAGAAACAGCTATGGTTTCAGCAAATTTGAATAGCACCTGTTGCTAGCACCTGTTGGCTTTGTCAGGCACTAGGGAGTCAAAAAGAGACAATAGGAGCAGAGAAGACTTTCCAGAGAGAGTCAAACTCATCCAAGAGGGGAGAGTCTGACAGTACTGGAATGGTTGCATAAACAATGGTTCCTCAATGCAATGATGCAACTGAAGTAGTATTCATGAAGAGGTTTATTTTTAATATTTATTTTTTTAGTTTTAGGTAGACACAATATCTTTATTTTATTTTTTTTATGTGGTGCTGAGGATGGAACCCAGTGCCTCCTGCATGCCAGGTGAGCGCGCTACCACTTGAGCCACACCCCCCCAGCCCTAATGAAGAGTTTTTTTTTTTGTTTTTTTTTTTTTTTTAATTTTTTTTATTGGTTGTTCAAAACATTATAAAGCTCTTGACATATCATATTTCATACATTAGATTCAAGTTGGTTATGAACTCCCAATTTTACCCCAAATACAGATTGCAGAATCACATCGGTTACACATCCACATTTTTACATAATGCCCTATTAGTAACTGTTGTATTCTGCTACCTTTCCTATCATTGTATCTTTTAACCAAAGCTATTTTGATTTCATAGAGAAACTGGAATAATTTTAAAACTTACCAGTATTTTAGTCAACTGGCAGAATTCATGCTACAGCTTCTCCAAGTGGCAAAAATGAACATGTTCAGCAAAGATAGAGCCTGTCAGTAGCATATAAAAAGGAGAAGAATGTATGTATGAACTCAAAATTTAGCTTAGTGCTTATACAGGAGAGAAGATTTCTTTCTCATTCATTACTAGGTTCATGGCTAAGACTTTATAACAAAGGACAGATTAAATAGAGAAAGTACACAAATTCATTTAATATAATTTTATGTGACATGGACTTCAGAAATGAATACTCAGAAAGGGAAATCCGTATGTTTCAATGAAGTAGTGCATAGTTGTACAGAAATTTGATTGAACAACCAATGGTAATAAACTAGGAGAACTTAGGCCTGGTCAGATTATCCTGTGTCCCTCTGTGGCATTCCTTTCTTCTGGGTATAGGATAAATGACAGGAAAGCCAAGGAATTCTTTTATGTACTGCTTGAAAGGATAAGGGCTTAGAAAGAGTTGCCCTTTGCTTCTGCTATTTCCTTAAATGCCAAGGTGGCACATTTGGAGGTAATGTATTCTGAGCCCCATTATAATCAATGGCTCAGTATTCTGTCTTATTTAGAAATGACCTAAGTATCTAATAAATGTCCATTAATACCATCCAAGTTTTTAAGTTACTGAATAATCTTAGAAATTATTTTTTAAGGTAACATAACTGTAGAATATAATTGCTTTTGAAACAAAGATTCCTGAAAAATTGATCAAGTTGGTTAAAATACAGATTTAAATTTTTCATGACTATACACATTAAACAAAAATGCTAATTTATTCCATCAGTAAACTCTTACAGCTTTAGAAAGAACATATTGAAGTAAAATAATTCATGTTTGTATTTTGTCTAACAATGACAGTCAGAAAACATAGTTGTTTTTATTAAGCCAAAATTATTAGTCTTGTTTGCCAAAGATTTACCTACATTATGCAAACTTGAATTCTTAAAATGTTTGTTAATCTCTTTAATAATACTTTGTAAATCTAGAAGGTTGAAGATATTAGAAATTCAGGGTGTTTGTTTTGTTTTGTTTTTTAGAATTTTAGGGTTATTCAATTCGTATAACTTCTGTATAAACTAATCAGAACAGAACTTAAAGAGATTTTATAATTTAATTCATTAATGTCATGTGGAGGTAGAAAGACATTACCTACATACACTTGAGCAGAAAAGGTTTTTCTGTATTATAGTATGTAATGACTGTATGTTGGTAGCTCTGTCAGTCACACAGAGTATTACTTCAATTCTAAAGTATCAGCCAAGGGTTAATAAACACAGAATTGTGAAATATACTGGTTCATGCCAAAGAGCTGTTCTCTTCTCACTGAGTATAAATTCTTAATTGATTTGAGCTCAAAATACAAAGAACTAATAAACCAGATTCTCTCTCTTACCTTACCCAACAAAGAATAGACCTCTATAAACTATTAATCTGCTTACAGGGATCATCTAATGGTCAAACTGTTGTAAAACCAATTCCCAAAATTAATTCAAAATCAAAGATAGCAAAACAGTCAGCAAAGGTCTCTTGCTGCTTTGGATTCACTTCATGGAGACAAGAAAAGATATATGTGGGCCTAAGAATGGGTGTGCCATTTCTTTGGTGGAGAAGTTTGCCTGCTTTTAGTTTTTGAATCTGTTGGATGTCTCAATGGGATTTCCAAAATTGTAGAGAGAAAATTTTCAGGAAAATAGTCATAACATAAACATAAATATAAAAATGAACATGTATTAAATAATTTATGTTATTTATGTGATTCTGGCAGATGTTATAAACCAGTTCAAACAAGTCAAGACAACACAAGTTTATGTGGGGTAAAGGAATATTGAGATAAATTGCAAATGGAAACAAAACTGTTTTTTTCCAGGACTAGGGTAAGTGGGAGGGTGAATTAAATCACAATGAGACAGGACAAAATTTCTGTATCTGTCAGTTACAGTTGATTCACCTTATTCATGATAATCATGTTTTGTAAAGTCACCAGGAACACCAAATTAGCAAATATTGAACAATTGTTCCTAAGGAAATAACACACATGGGTTTCCACAAGCCTCTGGTTATGTCCTTTCATTAACAGATCAATACTAAGTACTTCTGTTTAAGACACCTCATTTAATATGTATTGTTTATTCATCAACATTGAACTTGAAGCCAACAACACTGTTATTCATACCCGAACAAGCCTATCTAACACCCATATTGATATATCACAATCTTTTTGTGCTTAGGGAAACTAGACAGACTTCAGCACTATGCTTTGCGGACCATTTTAAAAAATGAAATCACCAAAAAGAAGTGTGCGCGTGCGTGCACGTGTGTGTGTGTGGGGGGGGCCCACACACACACCAAAAAAAAAAAAATGTGACTCTAAATAGACCTTGAAAAGTACACTTGTTTACAGTGTGAGTGCTGAAACAAGAAGGGCAGAACATTACCTTGTTTGACCTTAACTGGGAACGTGTATTGGGCAACTCAAATTTTTTGCCATTCTGTGCATGTCATAAATGACCATAGGACCACTAAGAGTGTTAATATAGGAGTTGCAAATTTTAGTAAATGAATTCACAAATAATGAGGTTTATTTGTATCTACAAAGGTTTGGGGTTTTATGTGTTTATTTTTTAACCTAGCTCTTTTCCTTCCAGTCTCTAATCCCAGGGGCTCAGGAGGAAGGCAGGAAGGAAGCAGCAAAAGGGGTGGAGGAAGAAGAGAAGTTTGAAATCAATTTTCTCATATTGGTAGAGTTACACATAGTGGCTTAGTGTGTTATGGGTTAAATACAATTCTGGAAATTCCTATGCATAGCCCATACCCAAATCAATTACATCAAAATTTCTGGGAGTGATTTTGGGGCTATTCATGTATAGTTTCTTTCTTCAGAAAACATGTTATGAATTTCTAACAATTGTTTCAAATGTACTTTTGGAACACAAAGCTACAATAATTAAAATCTTTTGATTTGTGGCAAATTCTGAATACCATTGATTCCAGTTACTGCTTTGAAAATAAGAATAAACTATATAGCAAGTTATTATTTGAAAAGATAAAATTTAAGGGGATCATTAAACTGATATCAAAGTTTTTGTTTAGAGAGGTATTGTAACTGTAGGATATTAATAATATATATTTCAAATGTGCCTCATGTTTGCACATTATTTGCTTGTGAAATCATAGATAATTTCATGGAAATAACTGCTTTGCCCGTGTACAAAACTTTATTATATCTCCTCCATAATATTTCCTAAAAGAATATCTAAGATACTTTTAAATTATTCTAAACCTTCTCTCTTGGAATCGCTATATTAGATACTTGGTTAATTTCAAAGTAGTCAAGGGACATTTTATAAAGTGAAATTCTTGAAAAACTATCCCCCCACTTTAAAATATATATTAGGTTTATGCTTTGCTTTCAGTCAGGTATAATGTCAGGGTACAGCCTAATGAGGAATCTTGAAACATTGCAAGTTCCAATGTCCATCTCTTTAGCTTCCCAAAGCTTTGCTATTCTGATCCCATAGTTAGCAGTAACTTCCAGTTATGTCAGCTTGTGCCAAATTATGTGATGGTTCTTGTTCTGGCATAAATTAAACTTCACTTCCAAACTAAAGTCAGGGTTGAGATTATATTATTAAAGGAGCAAGATCTTTCACAGGACATGAATTAATATTATTAGAGGTAAGACAATAAAAGAATCAATGAAATTTTGTCTTTATTTTTGCATTACTGAACCGTAAACAAAATGGTTCCATAAACAAAGATGAATGGAATTAATTTTCTTTTTGTCTCATACGTGGAAGTTGTTAAGTTCATTGCTGTTATCTGATTTTGTTCAGGGGCTTTTTCTTTCTTTGGTGTATGAAAAGGTCACACCAAACAGTCATATCGTAGGAAATAGAACATTCCAACCACAATATGGTTATCTACAAAATAAATTGACATGTTTCTTGAAAAAAAAATTGGACATTGGCTGTTAAAGATCACGTTTTAATTTTACTAGAACATTTTCCAGAGGTACTGCTCCCATAGTAGGGTTTAAAGCATTCCAGTGTGAAACAGCAAAAGGAATCAGCTACTTATCATTTAGGTGCTGGTGGTTGGATTTGTGGCAAATCCATGCCATATGGCTACTCTGCTCAGAGGGAAATGATGGCAGCCCTAAGAGATTTACCCCATCCTTTTGGGCTGTTGCCTCAGACTCAGTTGCTTTGATCTTCTGTTGCGCAGCTGGGAAGAGTAAAGGCTAGTTTTTAAGTGTCCTAAAAAGAGAACATATGGGACCATTGTTTTAGACTGTACCTTCATTTCATATAAGCATTCTTTTGAGGGTACAAGTGTTTTCATTTGAACTCATCAGAAAAATGTTTGGGTTATTTAAAAAAATAAAAAAGCTAAAAAATATTATTTCTTTCCTAAATTCCAGTACTTTATTTCTTGCAAGATACATTGCTTTATTCCCTTTTACAAACAAATTTCAAGTGTATATAGGAAAGACAAGTGTCATTCATGTAACTTTCCCATTGGTAAGTATATGTTTAATGTCTTTTCAAGTGCTGTTATTTTTACTTTGTCTTTTTTTGGCCAAAGTTTACCACTTACTCCAGTAATTTTTACGTTCAAGTATAGTGAGACCAGTAAATGTGTTCTTCTAGTCACTGGAAGGTAAAATACTTTGGAGGGGTGATGCTTGAAAATATGATCAGACTCTTTACAGTATAACAAAAAGGAGCAAAATTTATTGTAATAACAGTCGTATATAGTAGAAAAGTTTTCTGAATGATGGATAGAAAAACCAAAAGTTTTCTAGTCTTGTTTTATTTTCCATTTCTACTATGAATTGCCATAAAACTCCCTCATGTCATTCTTTGCTTTGACTTAATGAGAGAAGCATGGTTGTTTATTCATCTTTAGTAACAAAGTTGTTTTCCACAGAAAAATGTGAGGGAGATAAACCTAACAATCATAGATGGTTGTAGCATAGTAATAAAGAGATTATGTTGGTAAATGCAGGTTTCCTCCACATGTATTTTTGTTAGTTTTTCCTAGGGTGTTTTTTGCATCCATATTCTAAACACTATCATGATACTTCTATTTATTGTTATCACCATCACCATCAACTAGAATCTGGCTCACAATTCCCAGGAGAAAACCCAAACCAGTTGTTCCTTTATGGAACAACTCCAGTCTTCTCACATTGCAGTGACCCTGGCAACATTTTGAAACTTTCTGACCACAACAGATATCAGACCTATGTCCGAGTTCTGATGTAGTAAAATGAATGAATTCTTTTTCTCTCAATTGTGTGTTTGTGTGTAGTTCCGATTCCTAAATATTTCCGAATGCTCTCTCGTTTCTTCTGCATTTCCTCTCATAATGTTCTTATTGATCTGGCAGGTGTATTCGGAAACCTTTGAGGGTGAAAAGAACACAAGTTCTCACTCCCATCACTTAGCAAAAAGATCATAGAGTAATTTGCTAATAGCCATTATAACCAAATATAAAACTATACTTGAACCTATGTATGTTCTCCATAATTGGGTATGGAGCAGCAGGGACTGGGGAAACAGACTTATTTTCCAGGGATTCTTAAGTCTTTTCAAAATATTTTTTTAATTGGAAAATATTTATACAGTCACATGAGTTGAAAGGAAACGGGCAAAATAAAAATTGCAATTTTGGAATTTTAAAATAATTTAGTTATCTGTATGAGGTGATTAGGTGCATAGCTTTAAAGTCAACCTGGATTAAAATTCTGGCTTTGGGACTCACTAGCCATGTGAACTTAGGATTTATTTTCTCTATGCTTTATTTTTCCTCATGACTAAATATAAAATTAAGGTATACTTCATAATTCAAGGAACTTACAAACTTAAATATATATATATATATATATATAAAGTACATTTTTTGCACTTAACACAGGGTCTAGAGCATAGAACAGTACACCATGTATGTTCTTATATCAAAACCTTTGTAGTTGTTGCTGTTCTCTTGTCTGAAAGCTCTTTTCAGGGATGTCGACATGGTTCATTCCTGACCTCCTGAAAGTCTGAAATGTTACCTTCTCAGAGAAAGGAGCCTTCTTTGTCTTTCTGGTCTGAAATCTTGTTTCCTTAGTGCTCATTCGCCTATAATAAGTATTTTAATTTAGGCATTACTGTGTTAGAACTTAGTATATTATTCACTTACTTGTTAATTTCTCTTTTCTACCTAAAGAAGTTTGGGAAATTTTTGTTTTGTTTATTGTCTTGCATTCTGTGTCTGAAAATTGTCCTTGACACAAATTAGGCAATC